TAGCTTTCCTATATGCACCATTAAGTGTTCTAGAATTTTCATTCTTCTCAAGGTTAACCATAGTTTTTTAGGATCCTCATAGTCAAATACCTTTGCATAGTCAATAAAACACAAGTAGACATTCTTTTACTATTCTCTGCTTTCAGCCAAGATCCATCCGACATCAGCAATGATATTCCTGTGCCATAGCCTCTTCTAAAACCCATCTTGAACTTGTGGCAGTTCTCTGTCAATATATTGTTCTAACCATTTTTGGATGATCTTCAGCAATATTTTGTTTGTGATATTAATGATTATTTTAATAATTCTCACATTCTGTTGGATCACTTGTCTTTGGGAATCAGACAACAGTCTTTCCAGTCACCTAATTCAGGGCACTCTTTCCAGTCACCTGCTGTGCAGCGGAGAGCTGGACAGTGAGTAAGGATGATAGTAGAATCAATGTATTTGAGTTACAGTGTTGGTGAAAAATGCTGAATATCCTGTTGAACAAACAAATATATGTTGGAGAAAGTACAACCAGCATGTTCCTTGGAGGCAAAGTTGATGAAGCATCATCTCATAGATTTTGGACATATTGTTAAGAGAGGCTATTCCTCTGAAAAGGTCATCATGCTTAGAAAGGTGGAGGGTCAGTGAAGGAGAGGAAGACCCTTAGTGAGATGAATTGATGTGGTGTCTGTAGCAGTGGACTCAGATGTGTTGGGGGTGATAAGGATGACAGAAGATAAGGCAGTTTTTGTGTTTTTCATGGTTTCACTATGAGTCACATTTGACCCAACAGTACTTCATAACAACAATATCTCTATTTTTTATAAGAGAAAGTACATTCCAGGCACATTGGTCCATTTCTTCTTTAAGTATGAAACAAATTCCCCCTGTTCAGGGCTCTTCTACTTGCCATTCCTTCTGTTTGGAATGTACTTCTCCCTGATGACTACCTCTTCATCATGTACAAGTCAATTCAAATGTTACCTCCTTAAAAGAAGCCTTCACTATTTTTCCCTAGGAAGCTCTAATATTATCAGGGTTGGTTGGGTTTTTTAAAATTTTTTTTTTACTGTTGCATATTTTCTCGCTCCTCCTTCTCTAAGCCCGCCCCACAGTGCACCCACATTGTTCTCATACCTAATCATGTATTTCTTTTGAACAGTTCTTCCCCTCTTCTGATCTAACGCAGTGTTCATTATCTGTCCACTCTCTTCTCATCTGTCCCCAGTGCCCGCAGTCTGTCCTATTTTAAAACGATGTTAAGCTGCAATCCCAGAGAAACACGGTTCGAATCCACCAGATGCTCTGCCGGAGAAGGAGGCGCAATATCCTCCTGTACCAGTCAGATCTGATTTGACGGTACACGCACACAAAATAATAAAAAAAAAAACACAAAAACGATGTTAAGCAGCATTTATCCTTTTTTTTATTTTTTTTTTAGTATTTATCCTTTTATAACTGAGATATTTGACTCAGCATAATGTCCTCCAGGCTCCACCATGTTGTGTAATATTTTATGCGTTTATGATTTTCATCTCTGTGTAATATTCCATTGTGTGACTGTACCATCGTTTTTCTTTCCAATCATTTTGTTGATGGGCCCTTGGGTTACTTCTATTTCTTTGCTATTGTGAATAATACAGCAATAAACATGGGTGTGCATGAATTATCAGTTTACCTTTAAATAATTACTTATGTGGTGTTTGTCTACCTACCCAAACAACATTTTCACCATTAGAATATAAATACCTATGATCACAGACTTTGTCTTGTTCATTCTCTTCTTTTACACGTTAGGGTGGAAAAATAACAAACTAACTCACGTAATAGGTGCTTAGGCAGTACTTGACTTTAATAAGAGTCTCTCTGTTACCTAAACCGCAATAAAATGATCCCTAAAGAAGAATTAATTCCACCAGCTCAGTAGTCCGCAATAGCTTGATTACTGCTGCTTAATTTGGAATTTATTAAATGAATGATACTTCATTGAGAATTTTTTTTTTAACCTAAGTACTATATCATTTTGCTTGATGACCTCAGGCTTTTTAAAAGCAGAGCTCTACAGCAAGTAAGAAATGTTGGCGAGAATGTGGTGAAATAAGAACTCTTAAACACTGTTGTTGGGGTTGTAAAATGGTACAACCACTCTGGAAGGCAATTTGGCATTTCCTCAAAACGCTAAACATAGAAATTCCATATGACCCATCTATTCCACTCCTTGGAATATACCCCAAGAAAATGAGAACTGAAACACAAATGGAGACTTGTACACATTGTCCATCATTGCAAGGACATGGAAACAGCCCAGATGTCCAACCACAATCGAATGGATTGAGAAATTATGGTAAATTCACACAATGGAATACTATGCAGCATGTAGGAGCAATGATTTTGTAAATCACTACTAGGGAAGGACTGAAAAGCATTATGCCAAGTGAAGTAACTAAGTCACATAAGGACAAATAATATATGAGACCATAGAACATGTATGAGGATCCAGGGAAGGGAGGGTAGGAGCAGAAGGGTGAGGATGAGAGAGGGGAGGTTAATCATAGGGTCACACAATTTGATAAAGGGAAGGGAGGAATAGGTAAAGGAAATGGGAAGATCCAGTGTGAAAAACAATGTATAGGAACTTTGTAAGTAAACCAGTATTTTTTTTTTTAAAAAAAAGATGCAGCGTACTGTTTGATGATTATTAGAAGAATATACATTAGCATTGTGTAGTCTTCACCACCTCATTGAATAATCCTTTATTCTTTGAAGTTATTTTTTCCCTATCCTCACTGTACAAAAGAATGAGAGATTAGAACATCAAACTTTCTTATTTTGAGCTAATGAGCTCAATGTTTTGGCATAGATTTTGAGTATCTGCTACTTTTATCACAAGACCTGGTGGCATAGTGCATAACATGTTGGCTATTAACTGGAAGGTCTGTCATTCAGATTCACTGACTGCTCCTCAGGAGAAAGGTGAACAGCCACAGAAACCTGCTGTGACTCACTGTGAGCTGGAATTGACTTGATGGCAGTGGATTTGGGTTACTTTTATAACAAGCTCTAGTGTTGTAGTGAGTAATGTGTGACTGCTAACCTGAAGGTGTTAAAATCTACTATACTGCCTGCTCTCTGATCTAGTGGCAAAAAGCTGCACTGCAAACCCCATGACACACACGATTCTAATCTACCTGCCATTCAGGGTGAGAAAGATGGGCTATTTGATTTGCTGCCTCTGAAAACCCACTAGAGAGTCAGCTATGGTTTGGTTCCAACATGGTGGCACACAACAAAACACCACCTGCTCTGTGGTGGAAAGATGAACAGCCTCCTGTGAAGATTAACAGCCTTGACAGCTAGTGAAGAATTGCTATGAGTCACAATTGATTAGTTTTTATTTGGTTACTTTTATATTCCTAACGACTGCTTCCTAATCTTTTCATGTGATTTGTTGTTGTTGTTGTGGTTTTTAGTGCCTTTCATGAATCTGTTGACTAATTATTTTTAGACAATTGTACCAGCCTGATAAGAAAATGTACTTGCCAACAATTACAATAAATACCTAAGTATAGATGGAAAAGAGATGAAGATTGCTAACAACTTTAGCTTGCTTAGTTCCACAGTCAACACTCTTGACCCAAGCAGTCAGTAAATTAAAAGACAAATTGTACTGGGAAAAATCTGCTATCAGGGACTTCTTCAGAGTACAGAAGAACAAGGAAGTCGGTCTAGAGTCTAAGGTGTACATGATCCAAGCCCTGGTCTTTGCAGTTACTTGCTATGCATTAGAGGGCTGGTCAGTTAAAAAGGATGGCAGAAGAAGAATTGATGCCTTTTGAGTTGTGGTGCTGAAGAAGAGTATTGAACATACCACAAACTACAAAGAGAACAAACAGGTCTATCCTAGAGATGGTGAAGACAAGTTGCTTCTTGGAGGCAGGGATTTTGCAGCTCCGTTTTACATCCTTTGGGCATGTTGCCAGGAGGGACCAATCCTTGGAGGAGGGCATAAGCTTGAAAGAGTGGAGGGACAGAGCAGGAGAGGAAGACCCTAGCTGAGTTAGATTGACTCAGTAACTGGGGAAAATGGGGTAGATATGTTGGAGACAATGAGATTGGCTCAAGATAGGGTAGGGTTCAGAGCTGTTGTACATAGGGTCACTGTGAGTTGCAAGTGACTCAATAGCACATAACAACAACAAAACTCTCCTATATTTCGTAGGATCTGGGTGTGGGGAGGGCTGGTCGGTCTGTCTAGAAACTACTGTGACATAGAACATTTAACTACTTTCACATATCATTAAATAGTCAATACAACTACGTTGTATTTTTCATCATAAAGGATAAAAATTTAGAAGAAATAGCTAAAGCTGTTCCTCTTTTCAGTGAGCTTATTTTACTATGGGGATGGGACAGGATTTGTGAAGCATCAAGAAATGAGTGCTGTGTAAATACTGTACATATATACTGGGGGGAGGGGGGAAGCCAGCGATAGGTAATGGGATTTCATGCTGATTTTTTTTCCCTTTTTTTTGTTTTCCAATTTTTTTTTAAGAGTTATTACTGGGAGGGTGGGGAGAGAGCTGGGCAGGGAGAAAAGTGCAACAGTGAATGAATGGAAATCCAAAATCTCTGTAAATGTTCTTTAAAATTATTAAAATAAAATATATTTTAAAATAAAAAATTTTTAAAAAGAGTGTATTACTTTTGAATTTACAATACAGAGAAAATTATTTTCAGATGTAGCCTGTTTCACATTCACAAAGTATAAAAAGGTGTTAGGAGTCTCTAGGGAATCAAAGTTGGATGGAATGAATTCTACAAAGCTGTCTCAGAAGAGCATTAGACAGCCAGAAGCTGGGTCAGGCGCTTGACTGCCAGGTGCTGCTGCTTCATGTTGTGCATGGGGTTACCTTCTCTGATTTCTCTGCTACTTAATGATCTGAAAGAGGTTATCAGATTTTCATACTAGAAGCAGCAAAAATGGAGAAATATTATTTCTGTTTTGGTAGATTGCTTCATGTGCGAAATGGAAACTGCAAATACCATTTGGGTGAGGAAACATTTAAGTTAGCTCAGACATTTATGGATAAACTGTCAAAACATGGCCAGCAAGCAAACAAAGCAGCACTCTATGGAGAATTGTGTGCTCTCCTGTTTGCAAAAAGTCACTATGATGAGGTGAGTGAGTATAATTATCTCTTACATGTATTAGAAATCTCATTTTGACATAGTAGGCTTACTTAAAGCTAATTTGTAATTGAATATTTAAAGTCAGTAAAAAGTAGTTTGTCATGAAATTGATTGTGTGTGTGTGTGTGTGTGTGTGTGTGTGTGTGTGTTTGTGTGTGTGTTTAAGACTTTGTCTTTTAGGACTTTTCCAGCCAGTTGGTTCACTACTAAAATTGTGATAAACATGCTGCTTTGTTTTGATGGGTATGCTTCATTAAATCAATCCTTAACACATGTTGGATATAGGTAGTTCTAGGTAAACGCCAATAAATGTATTTATTTCATTGGAAAGCTAAATTTTATTTATGCTGTAATTGCATTATTTTGTTACTTCCTCTGTCTTACAGAAAAGACAGGCTCATTCCTGGTTTTATACTATTAAATGAATGCTTTGGTGCTAATAAACACATGTGAAAGTGATATATGAGTTCTTAACTTGCTTTATTTATGAAAGAATTTCATACTGTTAGAAAGCTTTTACATTCTAAAATTGTAATACTTGTTTTTTCTTTCTAGCAAAGTAACTATATAAGTAAAATAAAAAGTTTATATATAATTGTAAGGTCATGTTTGTGCATCCTGATGTTAGGATCATCCTGCTTTTAATATCTACATAAAAATGCATAAAGGTTAATAAATATATAATAAACACTGATTAATGTGGGTGAAGGGAAAGAAGATAATATTCTTTCTATATATTCACACCAAAAACAAAGGATTCTATTTATAAAAGGGCTTTGTGTAGAGTACAGACTTTCTTGACAATAGAAATAAAGATATTTTAGTATTGTGTACAGTATCCATTTTCCCCCTTTGTGCTAGCAACCTAGGTAGGTTCAAACCTGAAATTTTTAGGCAAATAGTTAAGTGCAAACCATTTGTGTTACTCAGGGAGCTTCAGCTGCCCCTCTTTCCTTGTCTCGCTATAGGAAAACAGGCATCTTTGGTTCCACTTTTATCATTTGTTGTCATCCCCTACTTTCCATAAAACCCTGTGAAATTCCACAGCCTTCTGTCTTGTTACACATAATACATCTTTTATAACTAGTCATTTTGTTTACTTGTTGTTGAGTTGAGCACGACTTATAATGACCCTATGAACAAAAGACCTGAAGCCTTTCTAAAACTATCGTAATTTCTCCAAGTTCTTAAGAGTTTCCAGGGGCATGTTGTTTAGGAAGTGGATGCCACATAGACTCTGCTTTAAACACACTAAAATCTGCCCAGACTCATTTAGGGTACTGAGCAGAGCAGACCTATCTTATATTTTTACCAGTTTCCATTGTTTCATAGGCAACTGTAATTTTAATTTGCAGTTCTTTTCTTTCTACATTTGAATTTGGAAGTTTGCAAATCATTAACATGTTCAGTGCTGATACTTGACAGTTCTAGTCTGTCCAGAGATACCTCAGTCAAAAGGCTTGGAAATTTACTTCCAAAAAAATTAGCAGTTGAAAATACTATGGAGCATAATTCTACTATGACAGGCATAGAGTCACTTTAACTAGGAATCTGTTTAATGACAACTGGTGATGCAGTCCTTCAGTGCTGAAAGGTCAGTGGTCTAATCCCACTAGCTGCTGCATGGGAGAAAGCTATGGTAATCTAATTCCATAGAGTAATTGACCTTGGACACTATGGAACAGTCCTCATCTGTCCTTTAGAGTTGCAGTGGGTTGGGTTTTTTTTTTATTTGACAGTTCAGAGGTAGAATTCTTACCTTCCATATGGGAAACTAGGTTTGATTCCCTACCAGTAAGTATACCCTGAGTTTAGCCACTACCTGTCTTTTACTGAAGGCTTGCATGTTGCTCTGATGAGCAGTCTTGATAGCTTTTAACATCAGCAGCAACACTCAGTTCTTTCTCATACCACAGAAATTCAGTGCCACTCTGATTCTTCTAATGGCAGATATAATACTTCTCTGATCTTACCTACTAGAGCTAGGTGATCAGATCTCACAAATGAAAAGGAATTGTCCTCTAAACTGTCGGGTCAGGTCCAAACTCTCAAATGCCAGCAGTAAGACTGAGACTCCTCAGGCTGTCATTTCTAACCTGCCATCTCCCTCTAATTTTTTTGGTTTAACAGTTTCCCAGAGCAACTCTCAAAACTTAGGAAAGCCCAGTACTTATTGGTATTTCTCAATAAGTCAGGTCACACTCATGGCACCCACGTGTGTTCCAGGCTAGAATTGGTCCATAGTATTTTATTGGCTGTAATCTTTACAGACGTTTACTAGGCCTTTTCCCCCACAGTGCCTGTGGGTGAGTTTGAACTGCTAACCTTTAGGTTCACCATTAAATACACACCGTTTACATCATTGTGGGACCTTCAAAGGTGATTTATTATAGCAAAGTATAAAAATGAAACAGTATGTTTGGTGTGAGATCTGGGAGAGTTCCCAAGAGGCCTTGGTGGCACAATGGTCAGAGCCTTCAGTAATTTGCAGGGGGAAAGGATACAGTCTGCTTTCTATAAAGATTTATAATCTAGAAATTCCTGTGAGCAGTTCTGCTGTGTACTTCAGGGTCATTATGAGTTGGAATAAACTCAGTGGCAGTGGGTTTTAAGAGGGATCCAACTCGAAGTGTCTTCTTAAAAGGGACCTGCCTACTCTCCAATGTGCTTCAGTTCTGTCACCAACCAGGAAGCCCAGGGAGTTTACATGTCCACAGCCTTTACCAGGGGAGGAGGCTCATTTTTCAGGCATGACAATTAAGTTCTGAGACATGAACTTGAGCTCCACCCCATCCATTCCCTCCTCCAAAGGGAGGTTAATATCCAGTAGTTTTGTCAGTGGACATAGCCACCTCATTAGAATAACCTATTAGACAGGTATGGTCGGAAGCCCTTATCAGCGATACTTAAACCACTAAAGAGAGCTCTGGTGGAGATTGCCCATCTTTCTCCTGTGGATTTCTCACTGGTGGATATAAACCAGCATTTGGGTTAGCAGAATTTGGATTAGCAGGACAACTCCCTACAGACTAAGTCACTAGAACTCTCAAATCTGGTGTAGAGCAGGATAAAGTTTATTTCTTGCTCATGCTACATCATTATTTTAGGATGACAGAGGCTGTATTTTATGTTTTATGAAGACCTAATTTAAAAGATAGTTTAGATGAGTTTAAGAGGTTAGAGAAAGGAGGAGTATATTTTAAGATAGAGGGTACAGTATATTTAAAATCTGGCAAGAGAGAATGCTTCAGATGTCCTGAGTATGTCTCATACCCAAGATCTGATTAAGCTATAGAGAGCATTAAGAAATACATGTTTTCATGAAAACTTCATCTCTGAGACAACATTTCAAATGTAAATATTTTTTATTTTACTTATGAAATTACTTGAAAGTTTGCAGGGAAAATTTAAAATTGTTGAGTTTTATCAGAATGATTTATCACTATTCTTCCTCTTCTACAATTTACTCCCCTAGGCATATAAATGGTGCATTGAAGCAATGAAAGAAATCACAGCTGGCTTGCCAGTCAAAGTTGTGGTAGATGTTTTAAGACAAGCTTCTAAGGTAAATATAAAACTAAAATATGATACTAAATTAATTGTAAGTTTATCAAGTTTTTAAATTATTTTTCTGTTATTTATAACAAATTAGATGTTGCATGTATCATAGACTAGCAAGATCTTACTGTCTTACAGATGTTAATATTTTTACCCCATAAACCCTTGAAACATTAACTTTGATAATTCTTTTTACACACAGAAGTATTTATCAAATATCTTGGAGCTTTTCTGGCTCAATTTTCTTTTTCTTAAACCTTTATGGTACAAAGAAACTGGTACATTCACGTAAAAGAGTTCATACAACACTGAAAAACAGTAAAGAACCTGGATGCATCCAGAGGACATTATGTTAAGTGAAATAAGTCAGTCCCAGAAGGATTATTCTAAGGTCACGACTATAAAAAATTATGGAAAAGTTTACGTACAGATAGAATCTTTTTTGGATGATTACCAGGGATAGAAAGGGAGGAAGGGAAGATTGAGAATTAATAAATAGATAGGCTGGGTGAAGGAGGTCAAACATTATAAATTAATTAATTATACTTAAAATTTTAATTAGCGTTAGAAAAATTTATGAGTGACCAAATGAAAAACCAGTATGATTTCTAGACTTTTAACTCAAATAAGACAAAATATATTGACCTGAATTCCTAATACCAAAGTTGAATTTCTTTTGCCAATGTTGACATTTTTTCTAAAGAATAACCAAAAACTTGGTGCTGTATATTTTAGGCATGGTATTGCAATTCCATAATAAGACAGCTTTCTCTCCTTAACATAAGAAATCTTTTTTTTTTGAATAGGCAATCTTTATTTTACTCTAGATTATTTTATTCTGTAAGTAAATTAATTCACTCTTTGCAGCCTTTTAGTGGTATCTAATATTGTTTGTTTGGTGCAGTGAGACCTGGAAGCATTAGTGTACTTTTCAGATACTACATTCTTTCTACCTGTGGGTCTTCTGTTTTTGGTTTTCTTTCTTCTTTTTTTATGTTAGGGTTTTTTTCCCATTCACATACATTGTATTTCATACATTCCTTTATTCAAATTGTTTCGTAGAATCATTCCCATACATCGTGCTTTATAAAACCAATCACCATTAATCCATGCCCACTATTACCACATCCTTTTCAGATCCCACTGGATCCTTCCTACTTCCTTCACCCCCCCATCCAAATCTGCAGCCTCGTTACTTACCCCCCCCTTTCCTTTTTGGACATGTATTACTAAATTGTTACTCTGTTTTTATAATAATGGTCTTATGCAGTATTTGTCCTTATTGAGTTAGTTCATTCAGCATAATGCTCTTCTCTAGCCTCTCAAATATTACATAATACCATGTATTAACCAACATAATAGTTGTCAGAATTGTTCCATCATTTTCAAGATCGCTAATATCCTTGAACCTGCTTCAGTATAGCATGTTTATGTTGGGGGTGGCTGGCACATCTTTCTAAACTTTCCTTGGGTATATACAGATGTGTGGGTATATACAGATATGTGTATATTAATGGGCTTCTGAAGCACTTGGAGGAAATAAGTCCACAAAGAATGCTTTGCTACTATAGTATATAATACACTTATTTTATTAAAGTAATTATTTGAGAGCTAACAGTTTTTTTTCTCTTTATCTTTAGGCTTGTGTAGTGAAACGTGAATTTAAAAAGGCAGAACAGTTAATTAAACATGCAGTGTATTTGGCACGGTGGGTATTATTAATGAAAACACAGTTTCAGATGAGCTTCTCTACTTTATTCCTAATAGATTTTTTTGTGTTGTGTTTTTTTTTTTTTTTTGTTTGTTTTAAATAGAGATCATTTTGGACCCAAACACCCGAAATACTCTGATACGCTTTTAGATTATGGGTTCTACCTACTCAATGTAGATAATATATGTCAGTCTGTTGCAATTTACCAGGTATGTTAAAAGTTATACTTTTTCTTTCAAACTGAATTGATTGTAATGTATAAATTACTTTCTAAAAATAAGTTTCTTGGTCTCCTTCATATAAGGATGCCATTCTTAGTAACTCAGTAGTAACTCAAACTTTATAAAAGTTAATGTTCTGGGAATTAAGGAGGATTAACTAGTAAACGGGTTACTGGATTATAACTTTCTATATCGGAATAGTGTTTCCATTTTTATTATCTTTGTGATTTGATTTCACAATTATCATCATAATATCTTTGTAATAGTAAGAAGGGCTTATGGCAATCATTACAGACCCCTGTTATTCCTAAAGAAATCATAAACTGCTCTGGACATGGTATCCTTAATTTACAGTTCATGTCTGAGGAAGGACTTAGAGAAAAACACTGGTGTTTCTTAAGATGTGAATGATTGTATTACTAAACCATCTCCTCTTATGTGAAACTTGAGGTTCAGAAAATTGGTCCTTGGAGTTCACTCTCCTTTTCTATTGTGATTGAAATATAGCAGTACCTTGTTTCAAAATTTGTGAGATTGTATAAACAGAATAAAAAAATACATATATATTTATATTATTAGCATGTTTAATTTAACAAAGTGGTGTTTCTAAAGATGTACTTTATAATCACATATTTTCATGACTATTTCAGGCAGCCCTTGATATTCGGCAGTCAGTATTTGGTGGCAAAAATATCCATGTAGCAACAGCTCATGAAGATTTGGCTTATTCTTCATATGTTCACCAGTATAGTTCTGGGAAGTTTGACAATGCACTGTAAGTCTCCCATTCCTTTTCAGGGAAGGATTAAATTTTGGTTTAAGGTTTTAGTTTGTTTGTTTGTTTGTTTTTGTTATAAATACACATGTTTGGTGAGTGAGGGGCGATAGCAGGCAGAGAAGCTGCGGTACAGAGCTGGTATAGACTTGGAGGCTGGGCGCGGCACAGAGAGAAAGACATAGTCCGCCCAGCAGGGCAGTATTTTGGGGCCAGTAACACTTGCTTGGTCAATGAGAGCCCGCAGAGGGCCCTGTGTGGGGCTGGGAGGCCTGGGTACCCTGGGGCTCCCTGGTCTGAGGTTTCTGGGTGTTGGTGGCAACAGCAGCTCCCTGGTCAGCTCACATCATTCAGGGCCTTGCGGGCAAATTCCGGCAGCACGAAGGCCGCCCGGTGCACGTCTGAGTTGTAGTACTTTAGCTGCCTCTGCTCCACCTGCGCCTGCGTCAGCTGCTGCACCGGCTCCCAGAAGTTGGTGCTCGGGGTAGAGGGACTTGCAGAACTGCCGCATCTCCTTGATGTGGTCCAGGTGCAGCCACTGGCTCTCCCCCTGGCAGCAGAGAATGCCATCCTCCTTGAGGGCTGTCTTCATGAGCTGGTAGTAGGATTCTTTGAAGAGGCTCTCAGTGGGGCCCATGGGGTCTGAGGAGTCCTTGATGATAATTTCAAAGGCATCCTGGTTCTGCTTCATGAATTCAAAACCATCACCTACATGGAGGGTCAGCTTTGAGCTGGAGTAGCCAATCGCCATGCCTGGAAGAAACTTCTTAGAGACTTGGATGTAGATGACAATCCTCATCGATTTCACACGGGACCACGGCCTCCACTGAAGGGTGCTTCACCACTTCCCACAGGACGCCCCCATCCCCACCGCTGATGATCAGTACCTTGCGAGGGTTGGGGTGGCTGCAGAGGGGCAGGTTGGCAATCACCTCCTGGTAGGAGAACTCGTCCCTCTTGGTGCACTGGATGATGCCATCCAACACCAGCACGTTGCCGTAGGTCTTACTGCGGAAGACTAGGATGTCCTGGTACCGCGAGCGCTGATGGTGCAGCAGCTGCTCCACCTGCAGCGACAAGGCCTGGCCAGGCCACAGGCTGCAGGTCTCGCGGAACCAGCCCTCGCGGATGGCCGCGCCGCCTGGGGAAGCGGGGCTGGTGGGGTCAGGCTCCATGGCAGGCGGAGGCGGGCGGGGCACGGGCTCGGGACTGCAGAGCCGCACCTCAACGCCAGTTTTAGTTTTTTTTATCTTCCCCTAGTTCAGTCATACTTAATGTACTTTATTGATTCAATTTCTGGAGCTGTAATACAATGTTTAGAATGTTCTTAAAGTCATTTAAATTCATACAAATTCATAAGCTATTTGTTTAGATTTTATATGGTTTTAATATTGAGATTCATGTTCTCATATTATAGCTTATCTTTTTAATATTTTAAGTTTTCTTTGTGTAATGTAATAACCTGACTATATCACAGACTCAAAACCTGAAAACCTCATGCTTAAAACACAGAAACATAGGAATTGTTGAATAAAATATAATAGGGTTTTTTTTAAATGCACAGCTGAATTTTAAATCAAGAGGGAACTCAATAATGTGGACATTAAAATCCAATGGAGTGAAAAACAATAGTTCTGAGATTAAAAGGCCAGAATTTGAGCCAACAGAATTCTGAGTTAGAACTAAAACCCTCAAGATAAGACTAGCCCCTCAGAGAAGAAGCAAATTTGCCCACCAGGAAATATGACAAGACAATCATCTCTGACTGGGCTCACCATTGAAAGGGTAACTCACAGGAGAATTATAACTGAAAATATATTATGCTTGAATTTACTGATCATCCATTCAGAAGTCCCCAAACTAGGAAAAAATCCAACCCACCCCCAAGACATTTTGAGGCCACAGTTCTCCAGAGGTGTTTTATGGAAGAAAATGTAAAACTCTTGGGAATAATTCTCAACTTAAACCATACAGAATTCTCAAAGAACTGCATGTAAGATGAACTCACAATGGAAAATTACAAAACAAGTAAGGAATTGTTTCCACTATGAATAAGAGCAAACAAAATGAACAGGATTAGATTCCTATAAATTTCTGTTAAAAGAACATTTTTGGTGGATACTATGAAGCCTAACATGGTGAAGATAATATCAGCTAAGAAACTACAGTCTATTGGAAAATAAAATTTTGTTGAAACAGCCATGCTCGGTAATTCATCAGCAAGTTGATTAGTTGTCACACTGTAAAGGCCAGTAAAGGCCTCAACATTGACTCTGTGGTCCTTGAGGGGAAAAGTTTCCCAGCTTTGATATAAAAAAAGGAATTAAGGGGGATTGTGTACCAATGAAGGAGTTTTTCTTTTGCTTTTCAAGGAGAGGAGCGAAAGGGGGGTTAGAAAAGTGCAACAATGAATGAATGGAATTCCAAGATTTCTGTAGATGTTCATTGAAATTTAAAAACAAAAAAGGAATTAGTGTTATTAAAAAGCAGATTTAAAAAGTAAATAATTGAGAGATGCTCCAAAACATGCATGAACTTTGAAAATAGTATGCTAAATGAAAGAAGCCAGTAACAAATGGACTATATTTTGTATATTACTTGTAAGGACTTCGAGGAGTGAGTAAATCTGCAGAAAGTAAATTGGTGGGACTGGAGAGCATTAGGCAGAGTGAACTAACTCAATCCCACAAGGATAAATATTATATAAAACCATTATTGTAAAATGAGTGTAAGGATCCAGGAGGGGTGGGAGAGGCTGGAAGCAGAGGGATGTGAATGCAATTTGATGGGTGGGGACTGAGGGAAATTGAAAGAATTTGTCCAAATTCTTATTCAGATTTTGTAAATATACTGGAGGGCTGGGGAGAAAGTAAATTGGTACTTGTCTAAAACCAGGGGACTAGAAGAAAATGTGGAGTGATTCTTTATGGTTACAAGGTCTTTTGGGATGATGAAAATGTTCTAAAACTGGTTGTGGTTATGGGTTTACAACTCTGGGTATACTAAAAACCACTAATCTGTATACTTTAAAATGGTACATTTTGTCTAAATACTATTTTGAAAATAGGGAATTTTATTTGTTGAAACTAAAAACTCAGTAGACATTATATAGCAGATTAGCTATAATTAAAGAAAATGAGTGGGCTGGAAGTCAAGTATGAGTAAAGAGAAGAGAAGTTGTAGATATTTGAAAGATAAAAAGATATTTGGCAGATAAAACAATAACTTGTATTTGGGCAGACAGACCATCAATAAATAAATAAATAACCAAACATGGCAAATGGAACTACATGATATGAAGAAGAATGAAGTAGGGTAAGAGTTTAGAAAATAAAGGTAGATTTTTAAAGGACATTTATGTAGATTAGCCTGAAATCCTGTGTACAGGGAGCATTCAAGAGAGAGAAGCAGCAAGTGCAGAGACTGAAGTGATAGTATATTTTGCATATTCAGGAAACTTGGGCATGTGTTATGGGAGAGGAGAAAAAGGTCCTGTGAGAATGTTAAGAGATGAGATCAGAGATTAAGAGTGAGAGAGCATGTTAAGCCTTAATGGCTATAATTAAGACTTGAAATTTTATTCTGAGGGAGATGAGAAGCCCTATTACAGAATCTGAAAGAAAATTAATTGTCCTAATAATGATAACTGGATGAAATAAAGCATTTAGAGGTTATTGTAATAATACAGGTAAAAATCTAGATGTGTTTTGGTTTGGTTTTTTAAAGATATTACCAAGATTTACTGATGATGACTTGCTTATAGGATAGGTCAATTTAGAGACTTGAACAATGGAAAGAAAAAATGGGAAGTAAAGCCTTCCCTTTACTTTCTTATAGGGGCCAAGTATTGCAGTGTCTCAGTAGCTCCCCTTTAACAGAAGTTCAGGGAGCTCTGATGGTATAGTTAGTAGGGAATTGAGTTGCTAACCCAACGGTAGTAGCAGTCTCGTGGTTCAAACCCATGAGCAGCCGCACAGGGGAAAGATGAGCAGTCTTCTCCTATGCGGTTTATAGCCTCTGAAAACCCTCTGGAGGATCAAGTTTGAGATTTGCGTTTAGCAAAAGTTCTGTCTGTCATAGATGGAAAACTAAAGGAGTTTTTTTTTTAAAAAAAAAAATCTTTATCACGGGTAGAGAACTTTCTGGTAGTACTATAGATTGTGATTTTTTAAAAATGCTTAAAAATCATTTGTAACTAAAAAAAAGGTAAGTTCAAATATATCTATATTTGTATTACAGATTTCATGCAGAAAGAGCTATTGGTATCATTACCCACATCCTACCTGAAGATCATCTTCTTTTGGCTTCTTCAAAGAGGGTGAAAGGTACCCTTTGTCATCTAGACTCATCTAAAACTGATAATATATAGTATAAAATTGTGATATTTCTTAGTCGTAGTATATGGTTGGATGGTTAAAGTATTTACCTGCAGCACTAATTATTAGAGTTTCTGTTGGTTCACAATAAAAGGTTTTTCATTTCTCAGTTAACATTGTTCATAGTCAAGAATTTCTTTTGTTTCTCCCTTTATTCATGCTTGGAGCTCTGGGTGGTTCAGGGAGTTGTGCTGCTAATGCAAAAGGCTAATCCACCAGCAGCTCCATAGGAGAAAGATGGGCAGACTCTTCATTTGTAATTTACTTCCTTTGAAAACCTGTTGGAGGATCAGCTATGAGTTAGCACCAATAGCAATGAGTTTTGAGGCTTTTTTCATTCATTAATGCCTTTTAGAGTAGGCAGTGTGAAGTAATAATGTAAATTATTTCATAGTAGTGCATAGCAAACTGAAAGTAGATTTTTCACATAACTTTAGAGTGCAGGATTCTTACACTTAAGTTTTATGTCAGATTACCTTTAATGTTGTAAGAATCTTACCAGATACCTTTCTTTTCCTTTTTTTTTTTTTTTTTTAAACCACTACCAAAGCCCTACCTTTTAAAACAGATTTTGCCAACATGAGTGGATCAGTCTTAAGATGGTAATTCCATGCTTGGGGATATATTGTACCTTAATCTTCAAACTGAGTGTTGGCATTGTTAAGGCTATACAAGTAATGTATGATTGATTAATATTAAAAAATTAAATTAATGAATAAAAATTTTTATATCATCAGAAATCTCACCAATCTACAGCCAACATTTTGGGACATATCCTGTCAGACTTTCCTATCTTGGAATAGATAATAAAGTGAATGATTGTTTCGTTTTTTTAATATACTTTATCATTGAATATATCATTAATATTTTCATTTCAATATGTATAATTTAAGTAGATAACTTTTTCAAATGTATTTCCTTTCAACCCTGTTATTATAACTTTATTATTATTTTCAGTCTCTTGTTTTGTTAAAAAATACTAAATCCTTGACAGTGCAGAAATTCAGTATCTGGCATCATTGCATTTCTTGGCATTGTACAAGATAAACCTGGTATTTCTATTGATACAGTTCATTTAAAAAAAAAACACACAAAAAACCCCACAGCTGAATACCTTTTACTTTTCTTTGCTCATATACATGTACTATTTTCCTAGTGATAGAATTACCTGATAAAATATTATATGTACTTAAGGCTTTAGATAGAATTTAAAATTGAAATGTCTCTTCTCTTGTATGATTTCATTGATCAAATGAGTTGGGAGGAAACCAGTTCTTTTAGTTGTGTATGGTTAAAGGTCATCATGTTTTATAAAATATCATTTTAGAAATTTCAACAGTACTTAGTTACTCCTTGACACAGTCTTGTAACTTTTGAAAATTTGCCTTTTTTTCCTTCCTAGTATTTACTTTAAAAAGCAAATTCTTATCAGCCAAAGTATAGAAACCAGTTCTACAAGATACTAAGTTGTATGCAAAGCCTGGTGGTATAGTGGTTAAAAACTGGGCTGTTGACCAAAAGGTTGACAGACTGAACTCACCAGCTTCTCTATGGGAGAAAAAGATAGGACAATCTGCTACCAGAAAACTTAACAGCCTTGCAGACCCAGTGTGACAGTTCTGCTGTGTCCTGTAGAGTCATTTTAAGTCTGGATTCATTCAGTGGTAGTGAGTTTGAGGGGTTTTGTTAATAAGCTATATACCATTAAAAATTTAAATTGTTACACTATGCAAAGCTTTCAGTCTAGTTTTCAGAGCATTACTTTGAGTCATAGCTTGACAGCACCTAACATCATCATCATACTGTGTGACATAGAACAGTCCTCCAAAAGTGTATTCTAGTTGTTAAACTTCAGTGCTTTTCATCTTGACCAGGTATAAGCCCTAATTGTACATAGTATGTTCAGCCAAACTGTATAGAATTTCATTTTACATTATGTTCGATTGGTTTTTGACAGTATGGTATCAAAATGCACTAATGCTGTTTCTTTCTTTATTCAGCACTTATTTTAGAAGAGATTGCCATTGACTGTCATAATAAAGAAACTGAACAGAGGCTACTTCAAGAAGCTCATGATTTGCACCTATCTTCACTCCAACTAGCTAAGAAAGCTTTTGGGGAATTTAATGTACAGACTGCTAAACACTACGGAAACCTTGGTAGACTCTATCAGTCAATGAGAAAATTTAAGGTAAAACATCTTTTCATACATTTTTCTTTCTCTTTTGAATAACTATATATTCATTCTGTTTAGCCTTTGTTCATTATTCTTATTCCACTAGAGAATTGTCAAGACAGCAAGTATAATAAATAACTCAAAATGTAAATTCAGCACTCAAAACTCATATTCATTGCCCTTGAGTTAGAAACCACTCATGGCTGACCCATCTGTTCAGTTTGCACAGCTGTAAATCACACAGGAGAAAATAGCCAAGTAAAATTGGCATAGAAAAATAAGATGTAACTATGTCAAACTCATAAAAGGTAATACATTTGAATACTATTAAATTCCAGACACAGTTTAACTAGGTTAAATATGTAGAGCCCTTAGTAGAAGGCCTAACAAAGGGCATGTATACAAGAAAAGTCAGATATTGCTAGTATTACTACTTACAGTAATGAAAGTAGGCTTACTTTAGTTCTCATTTAGAATTCTGAGTGGTAAATCTTTAATATGTCCATTTTAGGGTTAAAGTAAAGAAGGGGTGAAAGTCCCTGCCAGCACAGTCTGGCTTTTTGGAAAGGGTAAGAGTGACGGGAAATCAACCTATATGGTCCTCGGTTAACTTGAATTTGTTAGAATAAAAATTGTTAAAAATACAATATTAACTTTTATAAATAAGCCTATTATAAAAGAAAAGGCTTAAAGACTTAATGCTTGCTACAGAAGATCAAGGACTACAACTTGCAATATAGATTACATCTCAGCATCGGGAAGACAAATCCTCACCATGGACTGATAAGCAACATCATGATAAATGGAGAAAAGATTGAAATTGTCAACGAATTCATCTTGCACAATCAACACTCTTGGTATCAGCAGTCAGGAGAGGTACTTCTCCAAATTACTGAGGAGCAGTGGTGTCTGTTTTAAGACTAAGATACACCTGATTCAGACGATCATCTTTTCAGTCACTTGCATCTGAGAGCTGGACAGTGAATTAGGATAGCAATAGAATTGACACCTTTGAGCTGTGGTGTTTAGGACGAACATTGACTTAGGCCATGGATGGCCAAAAAAAACCAGATATGTCTTGGCAAAAGTGCAGTTAGAGTGCTTTTTGAAGGCAGAGATGGCAAAACTTCATCTCACATACTTAGAACATGTTGTTTGGAGATACTATTTTTTAGAAAGGGACATCATGCAAAGAAAGGTAGAGGGTCAATGAAGGAGAGGGAGACCCTCAGTGAGATGGATTGACACAGTGGCTGTAGCTCAAGTGGGCTCAAGTATGTCAGAAGTGGATGGCAGAGGACAGGGTTCAGATTTTTTGTTCATAAGGTCACTATGAGTCTTAACAGCACCTGACAACAGCATTATGATATGGGCTTCTTGGTCAGAATCATTTAATTTATGGCATATGCTATCTTAAAAAGGCAGTATCATTTTAGAATGTTTTAATATTAACTTCCTCTTAACAGTTACTACCGGCACATACTTTCTCTTGTTAACAATTTAATGTACAGTTTTCCAAAATTGGTAATGCTTCTTTTCAAGGAGAAGAGTGAATTGGGGATAGGGGTTAGGGAGGGAGAAAAGTGCAACAATGAGTGACTGGAAACCCTAAGTCTCTCTGTAAACTTTTATTAAAATTAATAAAACAAAAAATTGGTAATGCTTTCCTAGATAACTCTTGGAATGATAGAAGCCTATTACCTGATCTGTGAAGTCTGTAAGATGTCTTTGTTAATGCTGTTAATTGTGTAAGAATTGTTGAGATGAGAACCAAAAAAAGGAGCTAATAAATACAACTTGCTGTATTTCAGGAAGCTGAAGAAATGCACATCAAAGCAATTCAAATTAAAGAGCAACTTCTTGGTCAAGAAGATTATGAAGTAGCCCTTTCAGTGGGACATCTGGCTTCTTTATATAATTATGACATGAATCAATATGAAAACGCTGAGAAACTTTATTTGCGATCTATAGCGATTGGTATGTTAGCTTTACATTTTCTTTCGTCAACTAATCTAGAGATACTATGTTAAATTACATCATACTTTATGAAGGGAAATAATATTACCAAGACTTAAATTTGGTTAGAGCTGCTTAGAGTAGGAACCATCCAAAAACTAGGCAGAACATTTTTACTAAAAGTGATTTGGAGGTTTTTTTAAATAGTCAAAAAGAGTTATTTTAAACTCTTGTGCAGTGACTACCTATACTCTTCCTTCTACCATCCTAGATTAGGTTTGCTAGTTTTTGACCGTGGGATCATGCAGTGTATACTTTTATATGTCTGGCAGATTTGGTAAACAATTATAGAATATATCTGTTGCATATCACTGCCATGTATTGCTTTCCACTGTTACATAATATTTTGCTAATATATTTATCTGTTGTATTCTTAACCTAAGATGCTGTAAATAATTTTAAGCATGTCTTACTTACACTGTGTGAATATGCAAACACTTCTATTATGAACATACAGACATTCTGCTGCCAGTTTGATTCCAACTAATGGTGACACTGTTGAGTTTCCTAGGCTCTAAACTTTTATAGAAGGAGACTGGCTGGGTTTATAATTAGAAGTAAAATTAATAGATTGCATTATCTTTATTAGGTGCAGTTAATAAATTTTTTACAAGATGTATTATTAAGTTAGAATAAGCAAAATACAAGCAAATACAGTATGCTGCCTATTGTAAAAGAAAGAAAATAGGAAAATGTTCCTGGATCGGCTCTTTTATGCAGAATAATACATAGGATAAACCAGAAACTGAAAAGATTGGTGGATGGAAATGTAGAAGAAATTAGGGGAAGTGAGACTTCTCTGAACATACTTATTTTGTGTAGTTTTGACTTTCAGAACCATACTAATATTTCATCTATTCAAAAAAACAAAAATGGGGACATCTCCAGATTTATACTGATAAATAGATGAACCTTACTGTCTTTTAAATTCACTCTCACACTAAAGAGATTGGGGAATAAATAACCCCATTAATTTTTAATGCAATATATGGACAAAGTTGATTGTAACAAAAAAAAAGCTGTGATTGGTAAGCTTACTCCTTACAATGGTCTAGTTTAGATCCCCTCAGACTTTGAGCTCAAGCACGGTCGTGATTGTGAAGATTGTGCATGTTTGGTCATTGTTTTGTTTTGTTGTACATTGAGAAACTGTGAGTCAGAGCTGACTCAGTGAACAACATGCTGATGAAGACAGCTGCTTTAGACAAGAGAAAACTATAAAAAGGCCACTCAAGGATGGGACTGGGGAGAGAAGCCTTGATTTAAGAATTGTTATCTTTTCCTCAAAGGAACAAAACTAGGCTGCCCTGTTTATAGACTTAAATTCATCTTAATAGAAACCACTTCTTATTTCTTTATCTGAACTTTCTTTTGTTACTATTTTCAGGGAAGAAACTTTTTGGTGAAGGCTACAGTGGACTAGAGTATGATTACCGAGGTCTCATTAAACTGTACAACTCTATTGGGAATTATGAGAAAGTGTTTGAATATCACAATGTTCTATCTAACTGGAACCGGTTGCGAGATCGACAGTACTCGGTGACCGACGCTCTTGAAGATGTCAACACCAGCCCCCAGTCCACTGAAGAAGTGGTGCAGTCCTTCCTGATTTCTCAGAATGTTGAGGGACCCAGCTGCTGAGGAAATGACCTCAGTTAACCAATTTATCTTTTCCCAGATTCCAGGGAATTCATACTGTGAAATCAAACCATGTTGTTTTTTTGGGGCTGGAATTTGCATTGAAACACTGGTCCAGTCCATTGAAGACCCTATTTGGGTGGTCCCTATCTTGCAGAGTGTCTGTAGGAATAAGCATATATTCAGTTATATTCAGCATGTATCGCATGTACAAGTAGTCTGGCCCACATTTTCAACCTACTAGAACATACAACAGAAAACATTTTTTCCCTTCTTTTTAAAAAATAATTCATTTTTGCAGAAAGCCTGAAAGAAAAAGAACTCCTAATAAAACTATTTAAGAGTTTAAAAGAGTTGCATTCTTATTATGTAAGGATGATTTAACAACTTTTTAACATATAATTCTTCCATGTGGAGGTATTTAATACTGTATTGTAAAGAAATTTTAAGGGGAAAATCTTTATTATATGCAGTATAGCAATGTTAATAGAAATACTAATAATAAGAGGGACATCCTGACATAAGTGTGGCTACCTTACCCAACAGATAAGGGAGGGACCATCAGATTCACCTGAACTGGACCAGTGTTGATCTGTGAGATCTGATAGGCCAGCAGTTTTATATATATATATTTTTTTTTTGTACAACAATGCAAGATGCTCTTACAGCATTTATTGACAGGACCAGAAGAATCTAAGAAGGACCAGCCTAGTAGAAGGTGGTTATTTGGACCAGAGGCTTTAGATTATTCTTTTAGCCCCTGCATATGCTTTTTCCCCAGTAATTTCATTTAGATGTATAATGAGAAATCATAATGCAAAAATTATATTCACGCAATAGATACCAAACTAGGGAAATTTGGCAATTTCAATGGCATTTCTTTAGTCAAGGTACACAGGTGTCAATGCCATAAACAAATCTATATCTGCTGCCTCATTTTAAATTTTACCTTAATAATCAATGCAGTTTAAAAGTATGTTGGCTATGAGTCATAAAATAACTCATGTCCAAGGTTGAGGATTTTAGGTTACTATATGGTTTATGAGGATTCATGGGGAAAAAAATGAATGCCAAAAAAAATTTAGTAATCCTTCACTTTTTTGTAAATAATAGTATAACTTGGTCATTTTAATTGAAATCCAGGAGTTAAATGATTCACTATTGATCCATCTATTTCACTAACTTGTTTTTAAGTTTATTGGGTTTTTTTTTAAGTCAGATTATTTAATATTGAGGAAATACTCAAATTTGAGATGTTGTGATATTTAGCAATCTAAGAAAGGTTTTGCTGTTACCTCAATTCTTACTATTGTGGTTCAGTTAGTGCCTCTATAGTTAAGAATCTGAGTTTCCCCCCTATTTTCAGGGGTTCATGACTTGGCTGTTAGAAATGTTGCTCCTGGCCAAAGCTTGGAGTAGTTGGGTGAATGGATGTGTGTTGATAGCGTTTTTCTTTTAACTTACATGTTGGATGGGAGGGAATAAAGAATCTAAACTGTGTAAAGTTAATTGGAAATTTCAGGTGAATTGGATTTTAAATAGTTTTTTTTAAGTACTCCAATATAATCTTTTTAAAAACTGTTAATTGCCATCTTGTTAGTTTTGAGCTTAGGTTTTTAGGTCCCTGCAAAAGATTCTTTGGGGGGCTGAACTAAAGGAGATGAAGCAAAGCAAACTCAAACCCCACAATGATAGCCATATGAAGCAGAAACCTGGATTTACTCCTTAAATGGAATAATTTTCCTTCTAAGTTTTGCAAAGAGTAAATTGGCACACCTGCAGTTGTTGTGTTGCTGGTCTGCTCCCATTTATTATAATCTAATGGCAAGAGGCACCTCTTTGTTAATTACCAAATAGTCTGTGTGACCAACGACTAACATTTTTAAGTTACTCAGCTCTATCCTCATGGGCCTATACATTTAATACCTCCAAAGATAATCTTCAGGATAGGCTTTTGTATACTTTTATTGGTTATTATTTAGAATCCTATGGTATGTTTGTGGTATAGGAATGTCATGGTAAATTGTTTTGCAATAAATATTTTAAAACTTCTGTTTCTATATGAAGTTTTTTGGGTGTTTTGTTATATCTATGGGGGTTTTGCACATAAAACAGTTTCTAGAATAATCTCAAACATGATTTATGGTCTCGCCCTTCAGAACTCAGTTTAACTCATTCATTGATAAAGCAACAAGATCTTTTGAAGCTTAGCATCACTGGGTGGCAATGTCAAATGACAGCCAGTTTTAGGGGTTTTGTTTGGATAACATCATTGTTAACAATTTCTCCTTTATCAGCACTCCTTTAATGTAGGTTTTTTCTGTGTAAATTAATATACTTTGATTTAATATAAGCACTCTAGCTCAATAAAAGAAATTACCAGTTTCATTTAGTGCTATGATATAATATGCTGTTATTTCTAGTTCTAATGAAGAATAATGTCCTAATAAAAATTAAATGTGGAACTTGGGTATTAGTAGATACGCTTGGGGTAAATAAGATACAGGGACTAAAAGTACATCTCAACAAAAAGAATAAAATTTACCTCACAATAACCAATAGCTTGCACAAACTTTTCACACATGTCAGAGTTGTATGTAAGAAAGCCCAGGCCAGCTTGAAGATTTTTCTAGAAGTTTAGCAAAGTCATTTTAGATCCAGAGACTTTGATCTCATCCTTCCCTGATTTCATTTCCTTTCCCAAGTCATACTAGGACAGTTTGGTGCTACTCAAGTCACGTGCATCAAGGAGCTCCTTGAACACTCATTGCCACGTGGTGGTCGGTCATCCCTGCAGTCAGTTTAATGAACTATTTGGATTTTTTTAGACCATAATCTCTTAAGGGATCCCTAAATAGTGTGCAAAATACCTGATCTCTATCTCTGCTTGGTTAAAAATGAACTCGGTATAGTTTTGTAGTAATTTCTGCCCAGGCCTGTTTTTATTTATGAGAATGAAGAACTTGTCAAAGACAAAAACTTACTGGAAAGAGATCATAACTTTGTAAAAATAAGTACAGAAGCTACAATCTTAGAAATACTGAGAAGAACCATTTGGCTGCTCCTTACAATGCAAAATAGAATGAACAGTCAACACATGCCTAAGACATTATTGAAGCTTTTGGGCAAAACTAAATTTTAGAGGTATAATTTGCAGAGAAGCTGTCACTCAGCTTTTGTGTTTCATCTAAAATTTTATCCTTGCTGCTTCCAAGCTGTTCTTGTTCTGGATGGCAAAGTTACTACTGGAAAGGGTACTTATTTGTAAATAAGTACAATTTTATTTTTTATTTTTTTAGAATTTTATTTCACTTAAAATAGGAATGCACGTTTCACCTCTTGGCTTTGGAGGACCTCAGTTCCTGCCAGGAAAAAAAAAACCCTACCCTTTTAATTAATCTGACATCTGGATTAATCTCCAATTTAAACACTAATACTAATAGTGCATTTTCCCCCAAATCTCAGGAATGTTTTAGGCAGAAAACTGATTTTACCCTCTTGGTGAACAGAAGGAGTGTGGTTTAGGATTTAATAAATAATACTATTCTTAAATTGCAATCCTAGGTATCTATAGCATGAGTGGCCTTAGTGAGTTCGTTGAAGTGCACATTTTTTTCAAAAGTAAAATTAAAGAGTAAAAATATATACTATATATAGAGATATCTAGAAAACTTGGTTTGTGGTGCACAAGTTAAGTGTTGGATCACTAAATAACCATTGCAGGTACCATTTGTGTAACATTCATTTCTGTATGTTCCGGAGGATATGTTGCCATGGTAACTAAGAAGTTCTCAATTTAGTTATACTTTCATGATGTGAATGAATGCTACATTTTATTAAATATTGCCAGGTCAGTACTATTTTTATACTTTATTAAGTAATGGGGATTTTAGTTTAATAGGCTCAAATTAAAAAGCTCTTACTGGAACAATTAAAAACAAATTACTAACATTTCATTACATGAAAATCCCCACTAATAGTGCCACAGTAATTTCTATAGAAATATAAGGTCATTAATAGACTTTTGAAAAGTTCTTTATTGTTTTAGAATAACCTTTCATATCATTCTTCTCACCAACTTGTAGTATCCATTATTTGTAATCATTAAACCATATTAAGTATATTTGTAACCAGCATTGTGATATATTCTGTACTTGTATTGCTAAAAAACTGAATTATTGACCTAATAAATATAGTGTTCCTGCATTTATTCATAGTGTATCTGTTTTCAATTTAGTTGTAATCACTTTTGGTTGGGGCCAGGGGTTATTAAACTTTGCAGATTATTTTTATTCAGGAACAAATGTGAGAGACAACTGTTGAAACTAGAACAAAAGTCCAAAAAAAGTAAAAGACATGGCAGAAGATATACATGAGCACAACCTTGGCAGGTGATGCTCATGAAGACGAAAGAGACCAAAGCATTCTGTTAGTTCAAGGAGTACTTTTAGTCTGACCACCTTCATTTCTCTGGTCTCTAATTCTAAAAGGCTGAAGATAGGAGTCCTGCCAGCATTGTGGAGAAAACTAGGTTTGCCTTTAACTACTGTCACTGAACTGTAAGAATTTGAGATAAGCTGTTAAAACTAAGCTGCTTTGTAATTTATGTCCTTTTAAGAATGCTGAGGTCAAATTTGATCTTTTAGAACACTATAAATATGCAATCAAACTGTTCTAAGAAATTAAGCCTCTTAAAAAGTTATAAATAAACATTTTTTTGGTAAGATTCCACTTTCACTTAGAGTAATTAGCACTAGCTCATTTCTGCTACTTTCAGCAACACTAAATTTGGGGTTTCTCTCTTTCATACTTTGAATGTGTTTTCTATATAGAATACTGTTTCCTCAGTAGAGAATCTTAACTTTTGCTGTTAAGTCAACTGAAGCCTTACTGTAAAGCTTGATTTATCACCTCTTGGTATTTCTGCAGCATTTTATTCAAACCTTTGTTAAAATAATTATCAAATAGTATAACAGAATTAAGACTTCTCTAGCTTGTCAACTTGGCCAAATTTGCATGTTTATTTAAGAAACTTCACATAGTTTACCAGTTCACATGTATTAACAACACTCATTCTGTAGTCTTTCAACCTGCGTAAGCAGTCATGTCATAAAATTTGAGGAAAAAAAATCTGAGTACTTCGTGATTTAGTCTAGCTTGATATATTTGTGAGTTAGAACTTTGATGTACAGTGTGTCAAGCTTGATGTGCATTTAAATTCTTGCACCAAGAAAATAATTTCTTGCACAGCACAAGCTTTATTCAGTCAGCTATACCCCAGCCCTGGATCTGCATTCATCTGCCATGTCATA